GTACAACGTCTTCGTGTATGGATGCACCCAGAAGAACCTCTTATGCCTAGCGGTTCCGTGTCCCTTGCCAATCGTCTTCCGAGTATACTTGTACAAGAACTCTCCGATCATCGTCTGTGTGATTGCATGAATGACGGCAGGATCAGTTGGGTTATTGATCTGAGAGCGCATGCCCATCAGGCCAGCAGCAGCAACGCCGTTCTTGGGTGTCGTGTGGTCTTGTCCTCCTCGACTTCCCATGCTTGGGTTCCTCGACAGATAAGGATTGTGATCTGAAGACATGGAAGAGCGGGGGCTAGCAACACCGCTTCTATCACTCGCTGCAAGAGATGTTGTCGACATCTCTTTACCCACATGGAGATTAGCATATCCATATCCTGTGGCATGAGCCGCACTTCTGAAGCTGCTCGTCGAAGGGGGTTGTCGGAGCCCTTGGGGTGGTAATGACCCATGTCCTCGTACAGAACCAAACCGACTTCCACCAGGAACAGACAGCACTGACCCAAAGGTAGGTGTGGTCGCCCGTTGGATGAGTTCTGGTGGAGGGGGTGATGAGGGCCTTGGTGGTGGGATATCGCGATCGTGGGACCCGGTAGAACTAGTGGGAACTCGACGTTCCGGAATAAAGTTGGGTGGGGGCATACTGCCAGGTGGAGGTGGTGCTCGAGGAGGAGGAGGAAGTGTCATCATTGGAGGTCTAGTCTTGTCCACAACCGACAGTACTGCATTATTGTTTGCAGAGGATGCCCTTGATCTCGCGTTTGCTGAAGCATCGTCTGCACTGGATGAGACGGCAGACTCGATCGAAGGCCGACGTCGGTGATCATCCATTGAACGCCGAGGGAAAATGGTAGCTAAACCTCCGAGACCTGCGGCGGAATCCTTGAACAAACTTCCAGAGGGTGACGGTAATGATCCTGTAGTACCCGCCGAAACAGCACCATTAGTCTTGGTAGTAGATGCAGACGGCGGGGCCGGAGGAACAAACTGGAATTGTTGTGGACTAGTGGCTCCACCAGCACCAACGCGATACATGACTGGGGATTGTGTGGTAGAAGGTAGGCCTGAAATCCTTTGGGGAGGTGTACGCGAAACTGGCAGGTCATCTGTCTGTACCGACATTTCCTTGACTTCGCGTTTGGGCGGGGCCTGAGGGATAGGTTGAGCTTCTGGTTCAGGCGTAGAAGTAGCGGCTTCGACACGAATTGGAGGCTCTTCAATAATGGCAGCTTCAACGCCTATAGACTGATAGGTGACTGGAGCCTTGACAATAGAAGCGTTCATAAGCCCAACTGCAGCAGCAGAACCTGAAGGTGTGGCATAGAACGAAGACCTCGACTGAGATTGCGACACTCTCGAAGTTCTCAAGCTCTCTGCGTCTGTGTCCCTCTCTGCATCTGTGTCGTCATCCCACTCGTCTGCGGATCCTTCGTTGTCGGTGACAGTCAGTATCGAATGGAAGTCGTCCCTGGAAGCAGACGCGGAGTGTGTGGCGGTCATGATGCTTCCCCGAGCATCTTGATAGTCGTCCGTGTCAGTCTCACCATCGGTCTCGGTTTCCCGCCCTGTCTCAGTAGCACCATCATCGTATTCCGCATCCGAGTCCTCTTGGAATGCACTAGCACCAAACGCGCTTCCCATAGGACCAGCGAGCGAGCGGCCAGCCGGGGCACGCAAGGTAGTTTCGCCAATGCTGCTCAAGCTAGTCGCAGAAATATCGCGCTGAGTGATGGTGGTCTTTCTTGTCCTCTCGGAGTCGACTGGAACTGCCAGCGAAGGTGGTCCAAGTGGCTTGGTCTGAGTCTCCACTTCGACTTTGAGTAATGCATCTGTGCCGATGCTCTTAGTGTCAAGAACACGCTCTTCGACAAACTCGTGCTGCACGCCGGATTCTACGAGTGCTCTTGGAACGGCAGGTTGCTCGACCTGGATCTCCTTCACCACTTCCACAGGAACTTGAACCTCTTTGACAACCTCCACTGGTACTTTGACTTCTTTTATGACTTCAACCTCTTTTATGACCTCGACAGGAACCTCCTTGATGATCTCCTTGATGACTTCCACAGGAACTTCAACAGGAACCTTGACCTCCTTAACAACCTCAACAGGTACCTCCTTCACAACCTCCTTGATCACCTCCACCGGAACTTCCTTAACAACCTCCTTAACAACCTCTTTCACAATCTCAACTGGTACCTCCACAGGAACCTCCTTCACCACCTCAACCTCGCGTACAACAGGCTCGACGTCATCAGTCTGACAGCCCATCTCCTGGGTCTCAATCTCCACCTCTTCCTGGTCCATTCCCAACTCCGCCATGATACCCATAGCAGTCGAATTACCCGCGCTTCCGGCCGTGACATCGCCCAATGCACGTCCCAAGTCCTCTGGGGCATCAGCGATACTCGGTGGTCGTCCTCCGCCAATGCTAAGACCCATACCACGTCTGCGGCTCCCACTGCTAATACTGCCAGACAGCGGTCGACCTCTTCCTCTGGTTGATCTTCTCAAGATAGAGTGACGTAATGGGCTTGGCGAGCCATGGACAGAAGACGTTGATGGTGTCCTCTTTAGTACGTTTGCAAACGCAGGATCCATACCCTCAATACTCGTGACGCTGGCAACACTGTTCCTGTTCGACTGCACCGGAGAAGGCGAGGCATGGGCCATATCTGGAACTTGATCTTCACCCTCATACTCATACTCATCTTCGCGACGTTCTGGTGACATGGATGTACGACGTTCGCCAAACTGGGTGTACTCGTCGTCATCGCCTTGTGAAGAGACGAGAGAGAGACGTTCGTTGAGGGTAAGACCACCACGGCGGGGCATGCGGCCACGAACGGCTCCATGACCACCACCTCTGCGATAAGGTGTCCCTACGTGAGTGCGAGCAGGCTTTTTGTTGTTGGGTGCAGGAGCGGCAAAGGTGGGTTCTTCCTCCTCGTCTTCGTCGTCTTCTTCGCCGTCGACCCATTCGTTGTCCTCGGCCTCATCAGACATACCCATCTTCCTCCTGAGCTCCATCTTCTCGCGCTTCTCTCTTCTAACAGTACCCTGGAGCGTCTGTATCTGTCTCTGGGCATGTGCTAGTCTCTGCTGTAACGCTTCGATCTCATTTCGAGGATGACTGGGTGCCATGAACGGTGAGGCTCCACCAGGTAGAGGCGAAGCATCCGGTGAGTCTGCATCGACATCCAAGTCGAACTCGTCACCCAAAGCATAGCCATAGCCAATCTTGCCTCTGCGATTGTTGGTTGAGCCAGTGAAGAGGCTGTCTGCATCAGGTCCACCGGGCGTGAGGAAATCATTAGGTGTTCCATCAGGATTCAAGCCCAAGGCAGTAGGACTCTGTCCAGACGTATTGAACCGACTACCGCCGAACCCAGGTCTACGTTGCGCCCGCTCCACTTCGTTCTTTAGTCTTTCGACCGCAGCTTGAAGATCACTTTTGTCGCGCTGTAAGCCAGCGGCATGCTTCCTAGCAAGAGCAACGTCCGTCTCGTGTTTATTTTGGAGAGCCTCTAATGAAGCTTGGGTGGAAGCTAGATCGGATTTTGCAGTTTCGTGAGCATCGCGGGTAGTAGCGAGGGATTTTGTGAGGCGTTTAAGGTCCCCTTCGAGTTTACCGGAGTGAGCGAGGGAATTGGAGAGTTGAGTACGAAGGTCTTGAAGAGTGACTTCAAGGTTCCAGTTCTCTTCCTTGAACTTGTCTGACGTGAAGGGGTAACGAAATGAGTAAATTAATTAATTGAGATGATACGATGGACTGACCGGCGCTTTGTTCCTGTTGCTTGAGTGCTGTGCGGAGGCCTTCGACGGAAGCTTCCAAATCATCCCTTTCTTCTTTCATGTCTTGGATAGCTTTATCACGTTCGCCGAGGAGAGACTGCAACCGACGGACTTCATTGAGAAGCCCACTCCCGATTTCGAAAGCGAATTCTAGAAAAGAATGTCAGTAATGATGAATGAAAAGATACTGGGAAAACTCACCGACGTCGTCTGCGCGATGAGCTGCATTCTTGGCACGCCTACTCTGTGCTGCTGCGCTAGTCGACGCCTTTGACCGTTCCCCTACAGATTCTTCTCTAGGTAGCTCTGCCACTGCCATTGAAGGTGAAGATGTCGATGACTGAGCAGAAATATGAGCTATCGCTGACTTTGTCAAGTAAAAAAATAAGGAATGACCTTTCCAAAAGCACTCGATAGAACAGCATTCTCCCTGTCCCACTGAACCAAAGTATCTGCCAACTCTCTAAACCTATCCTTTGCCTCTCCGCTAACACCAGAATCACTTCCAGATTCATAACCTCCTTCTGTACTATCAGCATCACCGATAACTTGCTGTAGCTGACGAATCCTCTCCTCCAACTCCATCTGCTGGGCTAGAACCCGCTGCCCAAGGGTGCCGGCTTGTTGAAGCTGTTTCTCTTTTGCATCGAGAAGAGATTGAAGGTGAGATTTAAGGTCAGACGCGGAGGAGAGCTGAACGGGGTCGAGGATGGCCATTTTCCTCGACTCCCTCCCCTTTGGTTCGAGTTGAGCTTATGCCGCTGTCACACGTAACGTTGAGTCACATCTTACACGCGCTCAGGGCACGGCGCAAATCTCCTGCCAGTTCGCCGTTTCCCCCGGACCTGAGTTCAACTCCATTCCATCTGTCGATTTATCAGCTGTTCGCGTCGAGGATTTTTTTTTACTTCCATTGCGAGGAATGCTTCAAGTTGCCCCTCTTTAAAATGGTGGAATCTGGCTTCCATGACACCAGCCTGATTCGCCTCAACTCGCTAGATATGGACTTCCAATCACCGCGTTTCCGTTTTCGGAGAATCGCTGCTTTACAACTTATGGGCGGGAATACGTACACAATGGACCTGGTGGACAATTTATAGTAAAAGTCAAGTCCGCCATCGGGGTCCCTCGCCGAGGCCGAGCGGTCAAGTTGCTCAATGTGTTCAATAAACGGACCTGATGCATGGAATTATTAACATTTTGATATGTCCCTGGTAGTATATCGGTTAGTACACGCGCCTGTCATCCTAGTAACGTGCGCGCGAAAGCTGGGTTCGACTCCCAGCCAGGGAGAATAGAGCGTATTTGCAGCCGTAATTACGGGGTCAAATTTCGAACTGGCAGCGTCTGTTTTTCGACTTGATTTTTCCGGTCGAAATAATTACGTACCCGTCGTGGATTTGCCTATGCATGGGTTTCCGGTGCTTCTCGACGAGTTCAAAATCGCAAAACCAGAAAATTCGTTTCTCTCATTCTAGATGAGGTGCTGTGAAGTTGAACGAGGAGAAAAGGTTGAGAAGGTACGCATATACATCTTGAAAGAATACCTTACATCTCAACCCAAGCCTAGTTTTTGGCATCCAAATTTCGAGGCTGTGGAGCTTGATATTTAGATTACGAACAGCCATATTTACGGCTGCAAATACGCTCTAATCAAAACTTTGAAGTCGAAGAAAATCTTTTTCCGCTTAATTCTAATGCTTACATAGCTGCATTCAATATATGAATATATATATAATCTTGCACTTTCAAGTTACTCCTCCGAAACAGTCACAATAACCCTTCTATATCTCGTCAACCTCGGTGTCCCCTTGTCTTCCACCTCCAACACCAGATGATAATCTCTTTTCTCCTCCTGATACAAATGATAAAACTTCACCGTCTTCGGCATCGTCATAGTCAACACCGAAGTCCTCTCTGAACCATGCATATCGAAAATCAGGTATCTCGGCCTCAACATTGTGCTGTACCGCCGAAGGCTCCTTATATTGGAACCACCGGAATGTCAGCTCATCGCCGTCAGGATCATATGTCCCCGAAGCATCAATAGTGATAGTTTCCCCAGCTTTTGCCGAAACACGCAAAGGAAGTGTACCCTCTGACCCGTTGACGATGACGACAGGTTCGTGGTTGCAGGCTTTGAAGTCGGGCGTTAACGTCCACCTTACATCGCCAAAGCTTCAGAAATATCCACAAGAAAAGACAAAGCGGAACGTACTGCATCCTCGCAGCGAAATCATTCTGAAACGCCTCTCTCCACCTCCAAATCGTAGCCTGATTGCTTGTGTATTTCTTCCCATCCACCTTACTCACAATGCGATCGGTCGTATCGCTATACACCTGACTCTTCTCATCGATAGCTTTATACCTTCCGCCCCAGCTCCCAAAAGACGGGTGCTCAGGTACACCGAGGCCGTTGGGGATAAGGTAGAGGAATGTTGGGGTATCGCCTTCCATGATGAACTACGTGTCAACCAAGCATTAGTGAGGTTATTGAGGTAAATCATGATACGTACCATAAACATCGGGTACATCTTCCCAAACGGCCCTTTCTGAATATGTTCCTTGACCCAATCTTGCGTAACGAGCGACGTATCGGCTCCGGGCAGGTTGTAATATGCGTCTCCTGAGATACCGCACCACGTTGCTATTGGTGGACGGTAGCATCAGCTACATCAAAAGAGTAGAATAGCGGCGAGACGTACACAGGGCGTATTCGTTCCATCCGTGAATGCTGACGATATAGAAGAGGTCGTGGAACGTGTTGCGTATCCAGACACCAGTATCATCCTAAGTTGAGCTTTAGCTCAGGAAACGAAGAAAGAAATCCAACGTACCTGATCACTAATTGCGTACACCCGAATCCTTGAGACGAACTTGTCAGCCTTTTCAGCCGTTCGCGTATGTTTGACTCTCCAGAGTGCTTGAGCTCTATGATCGTCATCAGTACCAATCACTAATAAAAGCAAAGGAAGAACGACATACAGAACGCTGGCACCACCCCATAGAAGCACCCACACTGGTCGACCATCTGGATCATCCTTGTCAATAGCTTCGATAAGCCTGTTTGACCCATCGGAATCCTTGCCCTCGCCAACACCTTCGAAGCCGTATACGGGAAGCCCGGAGCCGACTTTGGAAACTAAGTATTCTTTCGTTGGATACCCCTTTGCGTGAGCGTTTAGATTGGGAAGGACTTCGCCGTAGGCGTTAATAATAGCGGTAAGTTGGTCTGCGTGGGTAGATGTTCTGTGGAGGATCAGTAAGGGACCAAGCATGGACGGTTTGCTACACACCTTAACCAAGTAGATGTAGTCGCTACTACTCCTTCAAGGTCGAACAGATTTGAGTACAGAAGGAACCGACAAAAAGATTCCGCATCGCTGAGAGGAACACCCTGAGCAACCAGTATGCTATAAAAACTTGAAATCCTCACTCTGGCTCGTTATTCTGCCCGAAATCGACCCATTAGAAAATTTCCTAGCGACAGACACGGAAAGACGCACAATGTCAGTAAGGATGAAAATCCTGTTGCGATCTGCCGGGGACGTCATGGTCAAGGAACAAAACAAATTTGCTGGGCAGCGGTGTCATTTGACCAGAACGCTTATATCTGGCATCCGGGACCCGGAAGTCTCGTTCGGAAGTTCTTGTGTCTGCGAGGTTGTGAGGTTGGTGGTGCGTACATATCCGAATTTCAATCTGGAGATGGTGTTTCTTCTCTTTATCCGGGAAAACCGACGAAGCCAGGTGGAGAATGCTAGCAGACCGTGACAAGATGGTTCCATAAAACATTCAGGATTCGCTAGACAATTGACGACTAGAAAACTCACCTTAGACAACAAGATAACAAATGGAAGCATCCGATATCTCGTATGAACTAAGGATGGAGAGCTCTCAAGAAGTTGCGTTGTTGATAGTTGCGTGAGAGGCTTTGCCGACATTGTCAGGCTCCCGGCTCCCATCAACCATGTGACTGCCCTTGCCCTTACCTTTCTCCACCACAACCAAAAGCATCGTCGAAACTTCCCAAGGTTGGGAGTCCGGTTTGAATACCCTGCTGTCTAGAGGATAACGAGCCTCAGGTCAGTTCCTCTCAGCTTTGAGCCGGGTATGACACTGACAGCTGTATCTCTTCGTTTTTCACCTGCCAGTCCTTGGCTTGCAAAAATGACGACGAGGAGACACGACAGACCAGCCGGTGCCTTCAACCATCCGGAAATTGTTCCTGGGGAAAACATTTTCAATCGGAAGTTCGGAAGTTTTCTATGGTTAGGTTCCACCACCATGGGGTAGCGGCTGGGGCCCCGGCCTTATAAATTTTATAAAATGGTAATAGTCTATTTTGCACTTTGACCCGGTCGTATCCTAACTCTCAAGCGTGTTTAGCAACCATGGGCTTTCGTGATAGCGCACTCTACCAAGTATGTCCTTTAAACTCGGCTTTCACTAGAGACTTGCTAACGAGTTTTGCGATTAGGATATGACTCCGACCTTACTTGGAGTTGCTTTCTTCTCGTCGCTTGGATCGTTCAGTTTTGGGTATGACAACAGCTGGTGGGGAGGTGCAATTGGCGCTACGTACTTCAATCGAATGTTTGGATCCGGTAGGTGTCGAATCCGGCTTTTCGCCGCAAAACGTTTCTCATGCCTTTGACATAGGTACAACAACACTCGAGAACGGCGAGGTCGTGCGCACGCTCACCTCCTCGGATACTAGTACGGGAACTGCATTAGGAACAGTATGTGAACCTATACCTTCTTTAAGCTCACACTGACATACTCTGGAAGGCTGGTATCATGATAGGCTGCATGGTTGCTCCTTGGATAAACGAACGATATGGCCGTAGGATAGCTTTCGTTGTGTTGGGTATCGTAGGGTGACACTGGAGGCAAGGTCCCTGGCATCCAATTTTTAGATGCCACCGAGGCACCTAGCACTCTGTAAATGGCTAGTAATGCATCTACTCGACAAGTTGACAGCAATATAAACATATTAAATTGATATGACAAGCATAGAGTAATTGAATATAGTGTAGAACATGTACAATCCACGATTTCAACCAATATATTAATACATGCCAAATACATGAGTTTGAAACGAGTTCAAACATGCATTAGTACATGCTTCACCTTCATGTGTTTATATATAGTCAGAATTCAGATGAGTGAAAGACTGTAAACTACCTTTTGCTTATGGGAAAGCGCAAGCGCGACGGAGAAGATGGCTCAGACCATTCTAAGACACCACCACCACCACCACCACCTCAGCCCACACCTCCACCTGCTCTTCCAAAAACACGCTTAAGAGATGGACGTCGTGGTGCAGCTCCTGGTTCACGTCTTGGAAAAAGCCATTCTTTATTCTCTTCCTCTCAACCTTCTTCATCTACACAACCTGAGCCTTCAAACAGAAAGAAGCAAAGAACAAACAACATGGGACCCCAGCCAGATCCTGGATCATCGTCGACAGCTTTGCCTCCAAGACAACAAAGACCAAGTGATCCGAAATTTCCTAGATCTTTGGTTCCCAATGGAGCAGATGGTATTTTTGTAAGTATATAGTAGTATTTCATAAGATAATTACTAACTCTATTTTCGAGAACGCAATGTTTCTTCATTGTCATATTCTATGGGGCATGTTAGGCGAGCATACACTGCCAAGTGTTCCTACACAAGAGGATCTGGAGTCCTTTGATGATCGCTTTAACACCAAGGCTAATCTCAGTCTGGGGCTAGAGTTATCAGTTGCTGAGGAGGATGGTGCTGCATTGGTAGATGAATGGCGCCAACTTGCCAAGAAGTCTACTAGTGTGGATGTGCAGAAGGTTGCAAAGATGTCAGATTTGTCATTGATGGCGATTTGGAGAGGATTGGCTTCATATGGGTTTCAAACATGGGTACCAGATGTAATGTCAGATCCGTATTCAAGGTGTGCTACAGTCAACTCTTTAATCATCTAACTCTAATATATACTTTATTAGATACAATAAAGCACATCGTTTTGTCTTTCTCACTACATTCAATGATGTAGTTGAGCTAGATGGTTATGCGGATTACCTGTTCGATGATCAATATCTCAAGAATCACCACCTTCTTACCAAGATGTATGATCATATTGTCTTTTCCTACTTCAAAGGCAAGATCAAGGACGAAATCAAGGAGCCTGGGTCTGTTATGGCCAAGATACAATCTACGAATCGATATAAGAGAAGAGCAAAGGTCAGTGTATCTATTATCTATAATTCAATGATTTGACTAGATCATATTTATAGTTGGCAGAGCAGCGTGGT